CTGGGACCCTTTGTGGAGGAATGTAGAAAGCACTTCAAAATTGTCTACCCACGGGGCAGGAGGGGCACATTCCACTGCCTATTTGCCTGTAGATCCAGGATTTACCCCACAGGGTGGTGACTCTCCCACCTTTCAGAGCTGCATATGCATAAATGAAGAGTGGAGTCCCACAAAGGCCCCAGGAAAAGCACTGTAGCTGAGCAGAGCTGTCCAGCCAGGCCATAGGTAAAGGCAATGACTAGAGAGACAGGGGTTATGAGTGGGCCCAGGAAGAACAACATTTGTGTCCCAGAAAGATAATAGCACAACTACTGTAAAACGAATAATACCTCTGGAAAGCCCTTTATTATCAAACACAGAAGAGATGAAAACAGGGCTCTTGGATACTTACTACATTTTTGCTTTTGTTTAAAAGCAGTTACATTTTTTATTTTATTTCAAATTTTGTGTTACTGAAGTCTGTGTTGTAAGGGAGGGGAAAACACACTCGTTTTTATATATGCCCATATATTTATATCTTTTAGTGTTTTTTGCCTTAATGCTAATCATTTTTTAAAGAGACTACAAGGGAAATTACCACAACGGTACATCTAAATGCCTCTGAAACTTAAAATGGCAGTTTTGAAATCTACCATGGAAAAAGAGTGGCATATATTTGAAAACTGTCATACTGCAAAACCTTCTGCCAAAATGCCAATCTGGAATGTATACATATATAATTTAAGGGCAAATCATAAGACAAGGACAATAAAACAAAATGCTAAGAGGAAGAAAAAAACCCCAAAGGTGTTGTCTTTCTTTTTTTTAAAAAATAACTCTAACACATAGGGTAGTAAAGGCAAAGTCATTTAAATCATTTCCTTAGTAATACAAGTAATATTTAAATAGATTTAATAGTGCTGCTCCAAACCAATGAATTATGGGTTTAAAACCTATTAAAATGTAATGTTTTTTTCCTGAGCTGAGAGGAGAGAGATTTAAATCCACTGAATTTTAATATTTCAGCTTGAGCTGCAGGAGGTAGAGAAAGTCCAAATGAACTATTCCATCAGCACCATTCAAGCATGAACATTTTAATCAGTTTTACTTCCTTGGAGTTCTCTAACACAGTTTACGCTGTCATTCTGAAAGCACTTAACACAGAGAGTGTGAAAAACCACCAAGGCTTGTTATTGCCTTCACAATTGATGGCAAATAATTTTGCAGACTTCCTATCATTAAAATGTCACTGCTAAAAATTGAGGTTCAGCATTTCTTGTGCTAAACTGCATTTTCCTACAACACCATAGCATACCTGTTCTTGAAGGATTTTTTAAGGGGTGTGCTTTTTTAAAAAATGCATTATTTCTATCATGTTTTTTCTCCAAAGAGTTGGGTTTAAAAAGTGGGGGGAATCCACAGGAACCTCATTTCCTATTTTTACAAGCCAAACATTTTCGTTTCCAATGTTTATCCCTAATAAAACTTTTGTTTCTTTATGGTAGTTTCTTTGGTGAAATTTTATGAGGTTCCTATGTCAGCCTCCTTTATTAAGCATAACCACATTCACACAGCATGTGCTGATTATATAGTGTAATGGATTTAAAAAGCATTTTAAGATAGTCAGATGACTCAATTTAATAATATAGGAAATGAAAACATCATTTCTAATTAGATCATATTACTGATTTAAAACTACAATTTGTGTGTTGTTCCAACAGTGTGATCTCGCAGAGATTCTAATTTAAAAACACAGTGGCTAGTAGAACACATGACAAGATCAAGCTAAATGCATAACACTCCCTTAGCCCATTTCGAGGGAACTCCAGGAAGCTTCAAGGAAACAAGAGCTACAACGAATTCAAAACAAAACACAAAATATTAATTGTAGAAAACACAGGAATTTTCCTGTTTTTTTCTTATAAATAAAAGACAAATGATATTTAACTTATTTCAATCTATCAACAGTTTTAAACTGAACATGACCTGTGAAAGAAATCATTATAACTGTGTTTCATTCCATTAAGCACAACTAGCTTATTGTCAGGAGAACAAGCAGCCTCTGCAGGTTCCGGGCTCACTTCAGCATTTTGCATTTAAACGGCATGGATCACTGGTTTGGCTCATTTACCAATGAAGGTAGAATAATATTGCAGAGTTAAAAAGGTGCTTCATCAGATTTCATTAAATCTGGGAACATTTGCACTTGTCTGGATGGTGTGCATACATATAAAAAAGATACACATATAGCGATAAATAAATGAAGGTCTGCAGGCGCTTAGATGGGTCTTTGCTTCTTTCAGGAGAAAAATTTTCATCCCTTCGGTGCATAAAATCATTGCACACTACAGTCTAAGACTCAAGTAACAATCTAAAGTTGACCCCCATCACTTTTGCTTGCAGGTCAAATCACCATCACCTCACAACTCAGCTATGCCCAAGGGCAACAGCAGGTGCATTTAAAATTCCACAATGTTACAACTCAGAAACTACTGGACACAAGGCACTATCCAGGATGAAACAAAGACCAAGGAGACAGAACAGCAGCAGCAGAAATGCATCATGTGAGTTCATTTTCAAGCTCTTTCCTTCTCCCTAAAACTATGAGGTTTGTTTTTCTATTTCTGCAACCTATTTTTCAGAAGTCAGACTATGTGATTTAGACTTCATTTTCTGCTCAGATACAAATAATCTGGAATTGCCACCAGATCCACCAGCTATACATATGCTGCTTTTGACAGCATGCAGATCTACTGAGTTAGTTCTTCAAATAAGTTTTGAGGTCACAAAATTAAATTTAGTTTTATTTTAATAATTAAATCCATATATACACAATCTATATCGGTTATTCGGCTACAGTCTAATAAATCGCCCTTTCCCTGAGAAAAGGCAACCTGCCATCCCATTCAAAACCAAGCATGTAAAATGAAATAGATACAAAAGAGTAATAAAATATACTTTATGTGAAGGGAAGGAAACTTGTTCTGATTTTTATATCTTCCCTCATATTTTTAAGCAACATCCAACACAAAACAATGTTTTTTATTTAGATTAATCTCTCTACTGTACAGACAGTAACTAATAAGACTCAAAAAAGAAACAAAGTAAGTGTTCTGTTTTTCTAGAGAAGACTGCCAACCAGACATAAGGTAGGATAGATACCTATATTTTAGTAGTTCCGACAAACAATGGACACTAAGCCAGAAATGACCCAGCAAGCTCGCATTTCTCCCATTCTCACTCCTTCACCAGCAAACAGTGCAGTGCCTGACAAATGTAGGTTCTATCCCTAGTGACCTAATAATACATCCCAAGGTGAAGACAGCACACATTTCAAGCAAGCACAGCTGTTATCTATCCTATATAACAATCCTATATAATAAAAGCCTAATATGCTAATTGTCCCCTCGGGCGGTCGTTTGACCAGGAGACTATGAGTTCGACCGCTTGCTATGATGTGCACTGACCACCAGGGGGTGGCACGGAACATGGCGTACATCGGCAATGTGGTGCTAGCAGCGCACAGGGAAAGGGGGAGGGTGGGAAGAGATTAACCAAAGATCTTATATGCATACTAGAGGCCTGGTGCACGAATTTGTGCTGCCAGAGCAAGGTGGGTGCAAGCAGGGCCCAATCTCCCCGCCGACTGCCCCACCAATCGCCCCACAGACGGCTTCCAGAGGATGTAGGCCAGGCCGAGAGACACTAGTTTTACATATAATTCTAACTTTAAAAACAATGCTCTGAAATTTTAGGAAATAACTAATTGTGAAATTTTTCCTCTCTGATTTCTCCCCCAACCCCCCCAGGGAAGAAAATGTGTGACAAATCAGTCTACATGGTTTGTTCTGATTCAGCCTCTTCTTTCCAAGGGCACTTCCAAAGAAATAAAGGTCACTTTATTCCATGCATTACGTCTTCTAATTTACTATCAGTATTTTCCTGTGGTCAGAGGGAGAAAATAAAGCTCAAAACAGCTCATTAAAAAACAAGCTACAATCAGACTATCTGCTCCACCACCATCGCAGTCATCCCAGAGTTCTGATTTCCTTGTTAAAAGACAGAGGCATAATTGAAGCAATATCTTCACTTCAGATTGATTATCAAGCGACCCTTATCCGCATCTTCACTCAGCAATTTGAATTTTAATGAAAGTAAATGGAATAATTAGCATTTCAAAGTGTGTTTGATACACTGGGGGAAAAAAAGAGAGAAGACTTTTGTGTATAATCTATACACAAAAGAAAAAATTTGGGAGGGGCAGAAAGAGGCAAGTACAGTTGTAGTGTCTTCATTACAATAACGAAGGAACTGCTTGTACAGGCCACATAAATAGAGATGTGAATACTGTGCTCTTTCAGCTACAAGTTCTCACTTGATTTCTAAGTTTTCGCACCTTATTTTATCACTTGTTACTTTAATCTGGGGGTGAACAAAAATACAAGTGGAGTTGGAGTGACTGCCCAAATCCATGAATTCCAGCAACATTATTAATGCTACTATCACCAGGAAAGATTTTATAACTGGGCCACTGATTTTCTAAAAGGTGTTGTTCATCTATCATTTCTACTATAAATGGATGCTAGTCCATAAGAGCCACTCATCACAGGATATAGTAGGGTGATGCAAAAATTTCATTTCATTAAAAATGAAATTAAGATACTCTGTACTTGAGGAAAGATAAAAGAAATCAGGTCATTTTAATATCAGGACGATATGAATCTTTTTCTGGCATAGGTTAGCAACAGAAGCTGATTGCAAAGGAAAGAAATATTATGAAAACTAACCAGTCTCTCTTTAGGGGAAAGTTTTCAGGGATATGTCAACTTGACTTGATGAGAGTACCATCCAAAGTTTCTAAGGTAGCCACCAAAATTCACATGAGATTAAAGGTAAAGTGCTTAATTTCATTTTGTGATCCTCTACTGCCTTTTGCCCCTTTGATGGAATGAAATTTAAAAGAGAATGAGAGAACTGATGACAAACACCAAAATCAGAGCTAAAATGGAAAGGCCACGTACCCCAATGATGGCGTTCAGTTCTGCCATGGTCACCTGCTTGGCCCGTTCCACAGCCTGCACCACTTGTTGCTGGTGCTATAAATGAAGATCAGAAACAGAATACAATTATTTGTTTTCTAGTAGATCAAGAATAGCTTTCCCTAGCATGTCCTCTAACTTCAATTACATGCAAAACAGGATTTACGGTTCTCCACATTTCAAAGAAACACCTGGATAGTAGATGACTAAACGTCTATAGTACATTTGGGTCTAGACTGCTGAGAAGCAACTGGGCATCCAACTGTGCCCCCATGAAAGATGCTCCCTTACAACTGGTAAAAGCAGTTTAAATGTTACTTTCATCTCAGTGGTACACTTTGACTCAACCTCTTCCCACCAGTACTAACAAACAAAATACAACAACCCATTTCATCTGCTTTCTTTGTACTCCCTCTTCTCTATCTACCTACATAAAAAAATATTCAAAATATTTCCTAGAAACACTTATTTTTTAAAATTTTCCTAATTTTGTTAAACACTAGAAGGATATGCAGAATTGAACGTTGATGTTTCCTCTATAAATGTGAAAAGAGTTCATATCTTAATGTAATGAGGGGCTACATATTTGAAAGGGATTTAAAATGTACAACTCTTGCTACTAGTCAAGTTTAAAAATTCCAGGTATTTCTTTTAAATGCAATGGAAAAACTAAAACCTACAAGTTTAAGTCATTTTTTTTTTGGGGGGGGGTGGCTAAGATGGACAGTATACGGTCATTTCTCTATCCATGATTCAGTTCTACAAAAAATGATCTTGATTTACTAATATCTTACTGATATTAGTAAATTGTGTAATATTAGAAAAATTAAATAGCACAGAACTCTTCACATGGAGGCACTCACATCTGGACATACACAAATGCCCCAAATATAAATATCTTTCCCACCTAAATACACTTAACATTCTAGGATCAGTCTAAAATAGGTCTCTTCTGCACTCCTTTTAACTCAGTTTAGTGAATGAAGAGCCAAAGGGACTGTTCTGGGAACAGTCTTGTTTTGGTTGATCCCAATGGAGAAAAGTAGCTAATGTTCTCCACTGCTTTGAAGTGAATATGAAGCTCAGTTATCATACTAGGTAGTACATACAAAGAGCTAGGCCATCATGAAACATGAAATTCCCCTTGAGCTACCTGGTACTACACATTCCAAAACACTCAAATAAGTAATTACTGAGGTTAACTAGGGTGACCACCATTTCCACCTCCCAGCTGTATAGAAGTAGTGGAGGAGGTGATGTGAGAGAGGAAACTGCTTTAAATCAGTTATCTATATGTGGTGTTTTCACCCTTGATTTCCTAACAGTAATATGTATTTTGTGCCTAAAACTAATGGGAAAAAAACATGTCAAATAACAGATCATTGCATTTGAAGCTTTTAATAAACTCTAAACATTAAATATACCTTTGATTATTTTTAATGGTAAGACTTTTAAAACAAGGGCTTAAGAAGCAATCCCAATGTCTTTATAGATATCCCTGTTCACTCTCTTACTCTTTAATAATATATCTGCCAAGGTGAAATACTTCATTTTTCTCTTTCTCTGAAGAAAAGTAAAAACCCTAAAAATTGCCCAGCTGGTATGGGTAGTGGTGAAGCATAGACCTATGAACCAGGGGGTCATGGTTTGATTCTTGGTCAGGGCATGTAGGAGGCAGCCAATCAATGATTCTCTTTCATCATTGCTGTTTCTATCTCTCTCTCCCTCCCTCTCCCTTCCTCTCTGACATCAATGAAAATATATTTAGAAAAAAAAACTAAAAATTTATGAAAACACTAGGAGAGGCACAATCAATAAAATGACCAGTTATAATAGTAATTTTCCCTTAAAGCCAACCTGACTATGTATGCTTACTGAGTACCTACTTACTATGTGCCCAAGTACAGAGCTCACATTTAGATTATTTGGTATTCTGAGTAATGAAAATGGCAGTACTTGGAAAGCAGAGAAAAAGACAACATGTAGGACGATTCTAGGATTCATATAACCCCTAGAGTGCCGGGGAGCGCGATCGCGCTCCTCCTGCAGTGTCACTATTAGATGCTAGTAGTTCACTCTTTATTGACAGATGGCACCTAAGTGCAGATTACTTATGATGCCGAATGTTTATAGTTCTAAAATTGACCACTGGCATTTATCTGCCTAATTTTTTACAGGTACTACGATTTTATGAAGTTTACTCAGATTTTGTAGCCCTAAAGCTTCAAAAAGGCATCCAGTTCTAAGTCTGCTTTTATTAGTGATGATGATATTGCTAAATATGTCAATTCTTGCTGTGAAGATGATGATTTTGTGGAAGATATTGGAGAAGGGTGTCCCTCTATTTTAACATTATATGTTTTGTTCAAATTTTTTTTCTACTAGTATTTTATAATACAATCAGCAAACAATATATGTCAAAGATGTAAACAAATGTAGTAAAGGTTTCCTTAAGTTTTTGAATATGTAACTTCATTTACTTGCGATTCATAATTTTTTTCCTAAACTGCTGTAAAATCAGCAAAAATGCCTTGGCAATTTTAGCATAGTTCCTAGGATATTGGTTGGCACTCAAAGGGTTAATACCCAAAGTAAGTACAGTGGGGCCTTGACTTACGAGTGTCCCCACTAATGAGTTTTTCGAGATATGAACCGTCTCTCGGGCCGATTTTTGCTTTGAGTTGCGAGCTAAAATTCGGGTTACGAGCCAGCTTCAGATACCCCGCCGCTCGTTGGCACAGCGAACGTCACAGTGAACGCCACAACATCAGCCCAGCATCACGTGTCTCACTTGTTCACTGTTGATTTGACATAGGAGTAATTTGAGTTACGAGCTCCGTCACGGAACGAATTAAACTTGTAAGTCAAGGCCCCACTGTATATGGACAGAAATTTTTATGATCTTTTCCACCTTTTATTTTCAACAATGGAATTGTTGAAATTCAACAATGGCTGCTCAAAACTTCTAAAAACCCGAAAGCCCAGGAACCACATGTACACATATCCAACACACATATCATTCATTCTACTCATGCATCCATTCATTCAATAAGCTTTTAAGCGTATCTTACTCTCTGCCATTTCTGTATATTACTAAAATAGCATATTACTAAAATACTTTGTATTAAGCATTCAAAGAACAGTTCCAAAAGATAAAGATGCAGAAAATACATCTAGTTAGGGCCTTTCTACCATAAATATTGTTCAACTCTTGCTTCTTAAACTGTATTCCAACTGCCAAGATAGGCAAAGCTGTGAGCCCTAACACTGACATCTGATGTTCCTATAGAAACTTATTAAAAAGCTAAAATGACAATGGAAGTCATGATTCAGCTCCTTCCTTGTCTCTCACGGCAATGGCCATATTATGCCACATCTGAACTTTACTTATAGTTCAGAATTTTACTTCCCTATTTCTGCGAATCATCTGCTGTTTAAGCAAAGAGCCTTTGAACAGAAGCTCCTTAAGGCAAAAAATGCCTCCTCCCCTGTGTGCTCTGAAAGCACCAGAAACACCCCCACATGGCTCACTCAGCAACACACTACCATTAAACCACAGACTAAAGAAGTGTGCACAAGGTGTGCAAATTAAAACGAGAGAAGGGGCAAATGAGAAGAAAAAACACAGAAGCAGCCCACAGTACTCTCATAAACTGACCCAAAGGAAGCATTTTTTTCTATGTTCAAATTTTAACAAATAATCTCTCTGAATCAGAAAATACAGCAAAAGTTTTTCACATCTTCTTAGAAACAGAATGGCTTTCCCATTATTTCTGCCATCTCTTCCCCTTTTCCTTCCCTTCCCCATCTGTTCCTCTCCTCCCACTCCACCCCACATCTCATTTCCTCTCCCACTTCCTGCCTATCCCCTCTGCCACCTCACTACAAGTGGTGAAGCCACTCTAGACCCAGTAAATCTGCATTAAGCAATAATCCTTATGGCCTCTTATTGCTCAAGCTGCTCACTCAGCTAAGCTCCTAGTTTGAACTTTATACCAGGACCAACAAATAAAATACCAGTAAGAATGTATTAATAAGCCAAAGGTAAGATGGGAGTCCCTCTAACCAGGATTTGGAGAGAGAGACCTAATTATTCTTTAAAATACTCTGATTTATAATTTTTAAAGAATCCTTATTTAAAAAAAAAACCCTACATTGTGGTTATGGTTATACAACTCTAAATTTACTAAAAATCATTTAATTGTGCATTTAAAATGTGTAAATATTATGATGTGTAAATTATATCTCAATAAAATACTGTGATTTAAGGAATACAAGCATCTTTGGGAAACATGGTCACTAAATGAAATTCTATACATTAAATCAACTGCCTACTTACTTTCATCATAAAATTATTTTTTTGCATTTGTTCAGAAAAAGTATTGAAAATATAGATAACATAAGCTCCTAAGTCCAACAAAGCCTAAGAAACAGACCTTAACAAACCACGAACTACAGTGTGTACAATGGGTGTTCAATACTCTCAGGAGATTATATGACAATACCTGCCGTGCAAAAACTTTTCAAGCATGGCAATAGATATGGTACTTTTGATAAAAAAAATTTAAAAAAATACTACTCTACAGCAACTTAGAATTTTTTTATATACACATTTTTTATTTTATTGTTTAAAGTATTACAAATAGTAGTAGATATGTCTCTTTTTTTTCCCCCCTACTGACCTCACCCAGCCTCCCCTACCCCCCGGCACTTGCCCTTGTCCCTTCGCCCCCAGTGTCTTGCATCTGTTGGTTGTGCTTATATGTGTGCTACAAGTCCTTTGGTTGATCTCTTACTCCTCCAACCCTCCCCTAATTTCCTGCTGTAGTTTGACAGTCTGTTCAATCCTTCTTTCCCTCTATTTTTGTCCAACAGTTTGTAATGTTCTTTATTGTCAATAAATGAGTGAGATCTTGTGGTATTTTTTTTTTAATACCCCCATTTATCGACAGGGATAGTAAAGGGAAAGTAAGGACAACGATGTAAAATGAAGTAGGGTTCTTATAATGAACAATAATGTTCCTTACACATGGAGATCCAATAGTGAGAAACAGATA